ATACTGTTTCATTCACCGTGTGATACATCTAATAAACAAACTTTTGTGGAATTACTTACTACCACAGTGCCCAAATTTTACAAATGTATTAAAATAACTTTTCAAATAGTCTTTAGTGAAATCCCTCCGAAAATCAGATTGTTAATTTCAATTTCAGATGCAAGCGTGACTTACATGAATTGGTTCGTTCCCGTGATTCTGCTATCATAAGTGGCACATAAGTTGTTTTTGAGTCAAATGTTAAATACTTTTGATTGTATATATATACTATGATTATGTTTCCTGGTCTTCCTACATCATGTTAGTTTCTAGAAATTTATTTAGATTCACGTGCTACGTAAGGAAATTAAGACGATCTCGTATCATTCCATCTCTACTAGTACGGTTTGTTAATTCTCCTATTCTGCTCATACTTCTTCACTACTCCCCCTTAATCTTTCCTGGGCAACTTAAGAAAAACTTTGCTATAAGTCGAAGGGTACTAAAATCTGTCAGTAGGGTACGTGGAGTGTTGCTTAACAAATTTGTTAGTATTCTTGTAGATAAACACTTGGATTCCTGCAAGAAATTAGCAAATATAAATTTGACATCAGTTAGAGAACCACTGGAAAACAAGCTGGGAGTACTGGACAGCTGTTTCACCCGTCCTAGTTTGGGACTCCTCAGCAGTACGCACCCACCGGGGTTCGAACCCAGGACCTTCTGGTTACAAGGCGAGCTCGTAGACCATTGAGTCACCGGGACCCAATCTACGAGATCCTGCAAGAAATTAGCAAATATAATTTTGTCAGACTCTGAGCATCCTCTGCCTACACAATTGTCTCCTTGTTTCCCATCGGGCAGAAGTAGAGGCAACTACAGAAAACTTTATGCTCGGATGACCAGGTATAAAAAATCTCTACAATACCTTATTTAGCACAGATTTTATATGGTGAGAAAAATATAAGGCAGGAAATTAACAATTTACTGAGAAACATTAAGTAAACTATCCATTTTACTCTTTCTTCCATTATTCATAGGTTGTTGAGATTTTCACCTAATTAAATATTCATAATGAACAAATGTGAATGCCCTTTTTTTATTACTTTATCTGTACTGTGTAAAAGGGATAATTAGATGCCATACTCTGCTACTGCACGCTGAAAAAATGTCATGTTTGTACCTAAAATAGGCAAAGTAAAGTTGTGATAGTCAAAATCATAGGGACATTGAACAGCTAACCAGAATTCAAATGCAAAAAAGTAGCATAATAGTTGTAAAATACACTAAAATAATATTGCATGCAGGATTTTACACTGTAGAGTTATAGCCTGTGTGTTGTAAGGATATCTCTCAGCCAATGCACATATGATCTTTCTGGAGAAGCCGCGCCGTGCACGATATATCCATTCATCTATGTGACTGTAGGCCATGATGTGGTGAGAGCTGTCTGCACGCGAAAATTGTAAACAACAGTTTACGTCAATGTTTACCTCTTGAATCAATGTCATAAGAAAAAGAACAATTACAAATCTTAACCTTGAGGAACTCACCAACCAATCACAGTAGACTTAACGCGTGCGAAGATGATTCGCAGATATGTGGCTTAACTTTCTAAGCAACCGTCACAAGCAGTACAGTATAAGCTTTAGTAAGAAAGCAACTAGTCAGAAGATATTGCTTCTCCGCTGACAGTAATGTACATAAAAGTCTATAAGTAACACTTGATTTTCTCAGTAAACTATTTGTTGCCTGGCCCTTGTCTTGTCTCGTTACAACGGCACTTTGAATTCCATTGATATTTCTGACATTACTCTTCAACCCACTTTTATTCTAACCATAATCCTGACCCTGACTTTAACCTTAAACTTAAAACTTAATCTAAAAAGCCGTAACCCTACCTAAAAGTATGGGTTTGCAGAAAAAGTACCATGTGAATACGCAGAACATCGTATCTACTTTGACCGTCTCCAAGTCCGAAAAGAGAAACATCATTTTATTTGGAATGAAATTTCACAGGATTCCCTGTATCTAATCGGTTCTTGGAGGTCGACTTTTAAAAGACCTTGACTTTGGTTGTGATAGTTTAACTTCGCCCAAAAGTACTGTTTGAAATAATACTGTTATTATTGTTGTTGGCTTCCGTTGGCAAGAAAGAGAAACCTGATCCATTCCTTTTCCTTAAGAACAGGAAGGATATGTTCCAGTGATATAATTAACGGGCAACTGAAGCGACTCAGACACGTCCCCATAGAGAATGTATATTCTCCAAGATTTATTGCGAAAAACATGAAGTTAAAGAGAAAGCCTGCAAGAACTGCTATTTATGAGTGTTGAATTTAAAGGTGATAGCACAGCTGAAATCCTGAGGAATTGCTTATGCAGATCAATGAGGAAAGCCTTCTTTACGGCTGAGCTACGGATCAATTTCTACAGCCAAGAAGTGATCAATGCATGTGTGAAGGATAAACTGCAGCTTTGGGCCACTTCAGTATGTTATATTGGCCGAGCAAAGCGCCCAATTTCCAAACGCATCCCAGAAAATAATCCGGCATGGTTAGCAAAGGGACAATGCAAGACAATTACTAGCTCAATTCTCGAGCACTTAGTAAACTCAAGCCACGTAGCTCCCCCTGAGTTGTCTTTCAAGATCATCTATAAGGTGAGGCCAAATGGTACAAATGGCGTCAGGTTTTGGCTTTTGTGTATGGTGGAGGCACTGGCATTCCATCAATACAACCGCGAACTCTGTATGCAGAAAAGGTGTATCCAGTCTCTTATACTACTATCTTCTTAACCTCTCCGCTAGTCCTTCCCTTTAAAAAATTCTGATTTTTCTTTGCATTTTTTAATTCTCAATTTTACTTTCAGTTTGCTTTTGATTTAATACTTAATTCACTATTATCACACTCATATGTTCCTTTTTGTCCATTTTCACATCCTCTTCACACTTGGTAAATTGACACTCAAATACCACCTTTATTCTCACTCAATATCAATTTTAACCTTATCAAATTTCTATCTTTGTGTCGTAATTTACAACTTTTAATTTTTACTTCTAAAGCCACTTCCGAGTAATTATATCAATTATGTCATACACACACCCTGCTACTCAATAAACGACTACTATAGATTTTTGGTAAAAATATAACTACTACTGTACAGTCAGCCGGTGTAGGTGATTTCGTCGATAAAGAAAGTTTTCGTCGCTGAAGTGACCTTTTATTTTCTTTATGACTCAATGGGTATTTTCGGTAATTGTTGTTATTATTAATATCCTTGACAGTGTCGTAGATTCACGAGACAAAGCAATTCCAATCATAAACTGACATTGGCTAGAGAACCGCTGGAAAACCTACACAGGATTACCGGACAGCCGCCTCGTCCTAGTTTGAGACTCTTCGGCAGTACACACCCACCGGGGTTCGAACACAGGACCTTCTGGTTGCAAGGCGAGCTCGTAGACCATTCAGTAGCCAGTTGGACTCGATCCAGTGACCGACCCCTGAATTCTAACTTCTGCCGATTCATGACATAGTGCGACCAATTAGCGATGTCTTTTTCGATGGGTAACTGTCCTCATCTTTTACATGCTGTACCCTACTTATCATGGCTTCCGAATAGAAACTCACGTAACTGCTTTGATGGTGCCAGTCGCTAGTGAGTATCGTAACTAGGAGGTCCTGGGTTCGAATCCCATTGGGTGCGTACTGACGAAGAGTCCTAAATTAGGCTGACGAAACAACTGTTCAGTACTCCCAGCTTGTTTTCCAATGGTTCTCTAACCAATGTCAGCTCATGATGAAATCCAGTAACCAATCAACCAAATGCTTGCAAATTAACACCTTAATTGTGGTGAGAGGAGGCTGCTAGCCAATTGGTAGACATTGATGTACGTCAATGTTTATGTTTGGTCGTGAGAAAATATGAACAAAGACTGATTCGACAACCAACCAGAACAGGCATTGCGTAGTCAGATACAGTTAACATATAGATGATCTGACATTCAAGAAACAGTCACAAAGAGATACAAGGTCAACTTTTTGTGAAAAAACAACCAATCAGAAGACTGTGTTTGTTTGACTTGAATAATCTATATTAATGTACATGAAAGTATATAAATATGTGTTGATTTCCTTATTAAACTGTCTGTTGCTTGACTCTTGCCTTCTGTTGTTATAGAATAAAAGGAAATTCCTAAATACCGAAAACGAAATTTTTATTTATGTATTTTTTAAAATAAATTCTATTTCAGGATTTAATCATGAGCTGACATCAGTTAGAGAACCACTGGAAAACCTGGGAGTATTGGACAGCTGTTTCGTCCTAGTTTGGGACTCTTCAGCAGTACGCACCCACCGAGATTCGAACCCAGGACCTTCGGGTTACAAGGCGAGCTCGTATAACATGTGGCCACAGGTGGGTGGTACTGATGAAGAGTTCCAAACTAGGACGACACAGCTGTCCAGTACTCCCAGGTTTTCCAGTGGTTCTCTAACTTACATCAGCTCATGATGAATTCCTGAAACCAATCAAATCCCTACAAACCATCTCTTGAATAACAATGAGATGCTCACTGGCGACTGACCCTATTCAGGTAGGTAGTTACCTGGGTTCCAGTGGGAAGTCGTGACCAGTAGGGTGCAGCCGGTCGGGTGTGAGGGCAAATACTCGCCGAAGACATTGGCTAGCGCTTGCGCTATGTCGTGAATTGGCAGAAGTTAGAATTCAAGGACCATTAGATCGGGTCCCAGTGGCTCAATGGCCTACGAGCTCGCCTTGTAACCGGAAGGTCCTGGGTTGGAATCCCGGTGGGTGGGTACTGCTGAAGAGTCCCAAACTAGGACGATACAGCTGTCCAGTACTCCCAGGTTTTCCAGTGGTTCTCTAACTGATGTCATCTCATGGTGAAATCCTGAAATTTAATCAAATCCCTACAAACCAACAGTTAAATTCTATTTCATTAATATGAAAAGTGTGTAAACATTCTGAGCGTCTCCTTTCTTATTTTCACCTTTCAGAAATACAGGATCAAACACATTGCGTACATATTTACAAATACAGTATATGCAACAAAAAGTAATCAACACAAGAATGTTTGATTACATAATAAGGGTGACAATAGTATTAATAATACTATTAATTCATATAAAGACAGCTGAAAATTCACCTTATGAATTACTTCCATTATTCGCTATAAAAGATATTACATCAGTGAATTTAGAATATGGTTTTCCCGCCAATTTTATCGGTGGTATAATATTAACAGTTAAGTTAAACTTTAAAAAATGTGTTCGATCAGTCGATTCAATAGCGCTAAGTAATGATTGTCAAGCATTGTACATTCCATCTTTTTGTCATTTTGCCTATAAACAAATTGATTTACTGAAAAATATGAGTTCAAAAAAAAATACACCATGTAATAAATATATTGAAAGTGAGCTAGGCTCTAATGATTGGGTGAAACAAGCCTATCAGAAGACGACACAAATTGTTGCTATTCAAACAAATGAAATATATGCTACCGCGAAAATTGCAGCTAGTACTACAGCTTCTCCTGCTGCCGCACCTCCTGCTCCCGCGCCTCCTGATGCCGCGCCTCCTGGTGGCGCACCTCCTGATGCCGCACCTCCTGATGCCGCACCTCCTGATGCCGAGTCTCCTGGTGCCGCACCTCCTAATGCCGAGTCTCCTGCCGCCGAGCCTCCTGCTGCTGCTTCAAATACTTTTGACAATGCTGATATGAGTAATGCAACTGCTACAACGACTACTACTACTTCTACCGATATCAGTAGTACGAATAAAATTACTGAATTTTTTAAAAAATGTGGACAAAATTCAGAAAATTTATTGAATGATGCTTTTATACCATTATGTAATTGGGAGGCATATTTAAAACTATTTAGTAGTACTACTACTACTGAAACAAATACTAATACAAAAGAAAGTAATGACAATGGTGCTGCGACTAACACTAGTGATTCTAAGGAACCATCAACTTATGGTGAATTAACTACAAGTTCAGAGTATTCAGGTAAAGTGAAACTGATTTTTTGTTTGATTATATTCGAATAAAAATGACCATTAAAATTTTTTTCTGTCAAAAGACTGATTCTCGAATAAAGAATATCCTTCTCGATAATGAATTGCTGCTCTTCATCGGGTTCGACAGTAACTCCATTATGGATAAGATTTTATTTTGATAAATCACACAGTGGTGTTACACAGTGATATTAACTGATGACCACGTTTCGAGCACAAACTATTGACACTCATAGTCATATCAAGCAAACTAAACACTAGTGTTTTGAAAAAAAAACCAACGCATTCTAATATTGGATATTTAGACTTTAATTCGTCTCATCCGTTAACTGTTAAGGCAGACTAAGTTAAGTGTCTAACAAACCGAGCCATAGCACTAAGTAGCACAAGAAAAGACCTAAATTATGAAATAAAACAGATAGACGAGGTGTTGGTGTTAAACAACCATCCTATAAAATTCATTAGGAAGATCAGTAAAGACCAAAAGCAAAATAAAAATAATGGTGAAACTGTTAATGATAAAATAAATAAGAGAGAATATAAGTCATCCACTGTTATACTTTCAAGGTGAAACTAAAAGCCTCGAGAAAAGCTGGGGATAGGCCACAATGCAAGTTCAACACTCAATTACTGAAGGACACAACCACAAAAGACACCTTCACTGTATTTTGTCAGAGCAAAGCAGAAAACACTACGCGACATCACTGAAGAATCATGCGTGGAAGAACATTGGAAGTCTCTGAAGGCGATTCTCAACGAAAAGTGTTCGACGGTTCTAGGAAGAAAGAAGAGACAAGACAAGGAATGGGTCTCAACGGACACTTGGAAATTAATAGAAGAGAGGAGAATGGTGAAAGAGAAAATGATTCAAAGCAAGGATGGACAGGAAAAGGAGACGATGAGCTCAACTTACAAAGCACTGGACAAAGAAGTGAAGAAGAGTGTTAGGAAGGACAAAAGACGATTCTACGACACCCTGGCCACTGAAGCTGAAAAGCCAGCAGACAAATGGGACCTGAGGACACTATACCAGATAACCAAATCTCTATCCAGCAAGAGATCAACACAAGCGAAACCTATAAAAGACAGCCAAGGGAAGCCCATTACCAAGGAAGAAAAACAGATTAAACAATGGGTGGATCACTTCAAAGGACTCTTGAACGGACTATCACCTGCAACTCGTCCAGAAATACCAACAACAGCTCGCACACAACTGCAAGTTGACACCAATCCTCCAACGAGAGCTGAAGTCTTGAACGCAATCAAGTTTCTGAAAGCTGGAAAAGCAGCCGGACCAGATGGAATACCTCCCCCCGAAGCACTGAAAGCGGACCCAGAGACTACAGCAGACATGCTGGCTCCATTATTGCAAAAGGTCTGGAAGGAGGGAAAGGTGTCTAATGACTGGAGGAAAGGTTACCTCGTGAAACTACCAAAGAAGGGTGACTTACGCCTTTCTCTGCAAGAACTGGCAGGGAATCATGTTCCTATCGACGCCAAGTAATATCCTGAGTCGCATCATCCTGGAGAGACTAAAGGACGCACTGGAGACAGAACTCCGACCAGAACAAGCTGGATTCAGGAAAGTCAGGCAAATCATGTACTGACCAAATTGCAACTCTACGCATCATCATCATCACAGAACAAAGGATGGAATGGCAATCAAACCTCTACCTCAACTTTATAGACTTTGAGAAGGCCTTCGACAGCGTTGACCGCGAAGTAATTTGGAAACTACTCCAGTACTACGGCGTACCCCAAATATTAATCAACCTCATTCAACAGCTGTACGACAACGGCACATATCAAGTGATCCACAACGGAAAACTTAGCGAGGCGTTTGGAGTAAACACAGGAAGGAGTCAGACAAGGGTGCTTATTATCACCGATGAATGATATTCCTAGTTGTGGTGGACTGACTGGATTATGCGTCAGACAGTGGGAAACGAGAAACGGAACAGGGATATCCTGGACCGACGTGAAGAACCTAGAAGACCTGGATTTCGCGTGTGGATGATTTATGCTTGATGTCACTGTCACAAAATCGAAGACTTACAAGCGAAAACCGACAAACTGGTCGAAGAAGCAGCCAGCGAAGACAGGACAAGACGGAGGTTATGAAAATTACCAACCAACAACAGCAGCAACATCCAGAGCCAATCACCATCAACGGGAGGCATTTGAAAGAGGTTACTTCATTCACTCACTTATCTAGGGATCATTGTCTCAACTACAGGAGGAGGAACGGACTAGGATGTCAAATAGAGCGAGAATCAGGAGGGCGAGAAACACATTCATCAACCTGAAATCAATCTGGAAATCTTCGTCATCAACTCAGCATCAACAACAACAAATTCGGTTGGATTTTCAATACAAACGTAGAGTCAGTCAGTTCTTCTATACGGATCTGAAACTTGGCGGGTCACAAATAATATTTCAAACAGCCTGTTGCAGACCTTTATCAACAACTGTCAACTATCGCTCTATTCTGAAGATCAGATGGCCGAGCCGGAAAGAATCACCAACAAGAAACTATGGGAACAAAGAAAACAAGAATCAATCGCCGCCCAAGAAATATGCAGGAGAAAGTGAAGATGGATGGATCGGACACTCGCTGAGGAGATCGCTGGGTGACATCGCGCGTCAAGCCCTCGAGTAGAACCCGAAAGGGAAGCGGCGTGTGGGACGTCCAAGGGTGACATGGAGGAGATCGTGTGAAGAGGAGTTGAAACAGTATGGATTAACATGGATGCAGGCGAAAAGTACAGCAGGAGGAAGACAGAAGTAAATGAAGACGTGCAGTTGAAGCCCTATGTTCCACTAGGAACCCAAGGGAGAAATAATAATAAATAACAAAATATGGAGGATACTTTTATTCTTTGTGAAAATGTGATTCGGGTATGAACACTGAAGTAACTCATTTCAGTGAAGTACATTCTTCTATGAAATTCGCGTCCGAAAAAGAATCCTAAAATATAGTTTCCTCTCTAGAAGTCCTCTTATCAAGAAAATCAGATGGTAGTATAAAGTGACGCTGATATATGTCTGATTTCCCACAAACTGGAAGAAATGTAAGTGAAAAGTAACAAGTTGGCAGAAAAAAGCATCAAAGATAGGCTTACAGGTGAACATAGAAAGAACAGAGGTGATGAAAACTCCTGGACAACAGCAACAGACAACAATCAGCATAGATCTGAGAAACGTAAAAGAAGCAACCTCCTTCACTTCCCTCCCCATCTAACTGGGAAGCATCGTTTCAACTTCAGACGGACGGAACTGATGACGATAACAAAGTGAGGATCAGGAAAGCAAGACAAGCTTTCATTTCTGTCAAGTTTGTGTGGAGGTCAACAGCACTCAGCATGAAATTGAAAAGGTGTGAGAAATTTTTAACTCCAATGTGAAGACAGTGCTACTATATGGATCAGAGACTGGGCGCCACACTGCATCACGAAAGGCACTTTGAACAAATTACAGACCTTTATCAACAGCTGTTTCCTCTCGGTACTCGAGATCAGAGGGGCCACCAGAAGAGATCAGCAACAATGATCTATGCGAGCGAACCAACCAGGAACCAATTGTGCAAGAAATATGCAGGAAGAAATGGAGGTGAATTGGCCATATTGTGAGAAAACCGTCAAATGACATCACACGACAACCTCTGTCTCGAGTGGAACCCAAATAAGAAACGGCGAGTTGATTGTTCGAGGATGACATGTAGCAGGTCATGTGACGGAGGGATGAAAGCGTGAGGAGAGAAGTAGAGCCAAATGAAAACGTTGACAGAGAACCGAACGCAATCGAGAGGTGCAGCGGAAGCCCTATGTTCCTCTAAGAATTATGTCAACAAAAAACCCAGCCAATCCATTTGATATAAATACACGAATGTACAGCCTAGATGGTGACTTCGTCGAAAAGGAAATTTTCTTCGATGCAAATGTCTTCTTATTACTTCCGGTGATCCAATGTGTATATTCCGCGATTTGAAGTGGAGCAAGGAGCTTTCGACGGTAAGGGAACTGAACAAGTTTCTACGTTTGTCCGTCAAGCTTGCTGAGGCGAACGCAAAGATTTTCTTCTTGAAGAATTGTCTCGAGAAACATGAATATCCCAAAGTATTTTGGAAGCATCTCAGACGAAATCACATATCCCCTAACTCACGTACGCTGAAACGACACACTCTGAATCACATCGATGCAGTGCGATCAAGACTACCTGAGCTAGAGCAGAATATCTCAAAAAGCTCCCACGTTCTCTATGAGTTATCTGAAGACGAGAGAACAGCATTCGAAAACTACTCCAATACGGTTACAAAGAAAAGAACAGATGATGTTATAATGAAACTAAACCAAAGCCTAAAGTCCGTTACAAAAGAAACCGTCTTTCCTACTTGTCCAGAAAAATACGTGTACAATTATTCTGATGTTCAACTATCTCCAATTCAAATGCAAATCTTAGCACTTGGGCCTAAGTTTTGTGATGCAACGTCAAAAGTGAATGAACTCAACACGAAAGTGCAATTTGAGAATTTAATCGACCAGACGAAAGATCTCGTCCCAATCTCATATGAGAATGCAGAACTTTTCAAATCAACCGTTTTAAATTGCTGTCTCGATTATATCAACAAAAAACCCAGCCTCCGTAACGTCCTTTCCAAAGAACATCGAAAGGAGCTGAAAGAACTGAAAGATAATGAAAACTTGATCATCACGCGACCAGATAAAGGCTCCGGAATCGTCCTGATGAACAAATCAGACTACCTAAGCAAACTCTCGATGATACTATCCGATGATAAAAAGTTTCAGAAACAGTCTCCACAGAAAGATCCCACTGAACAGACGGAGCTCCAGCTAACAAAGATATTGAAGAAAATGAAGGACGAATCCATTATCAGTTCAAAGCTATACGAACAACTGCGCCCATCTGGTTCTACAACGCCACGTATGTACGGCTTACCCAAGGTACAAACAAGACGTCCCACTCCGCCCAATA